CTGTGCCTGGTGCGGTGAAGGCGTCGCCCTGGCGTGAGCTCTCATGTGCCCTCCTGAGCAGGCGGGCGGCCCTGCTCCCCGAGCAACCTGCCCCCACGCGGGGGTTCTGCGGGGTCCCTCTCGTGAGGCTGCCCACGGTGAGAGGCCAGCACTCCGCCTGGCTGCCTTCCTGTCATGCTTTGTGCCCTGAACAATGGGAAGGGAAGGACGGGTCTCAGGCAGCTGGGACAGGCAGCGGCTAGGAAGCAGAAGGCTGTGGGGAGGCCCAGTTTCGGCTAGGGAATCCTGAATCTGAGCTGCTTCCTCTCCTGAGACACCAGCGTGTCTGGCCCCTGGCCTAGGGGTGAGGCACAATCTCAGGAGACCTGAGTGCTTTCCTCATCTACTTCCCTGGAGCCAATTAGTCTACAATTTAGTTGCTTAAAGCCAATGGCATGACTTTTCTCAGTCTCGGGGGCTCTGGAGTGGAGGAGCTGTGCTTTATCTGACAGACTCCTGACAGGCTCTGACTTTCACTTCAATTACCACCTCCTGTTTCAGGAAGCGGGGAAATGAAAGAAAGTTTAGATTTAGCTGCTGGTGGACTGTCCCAAGTGTAGGGGGCCTGGGAGGGGAGGAGTGGGGGGGCTGGGTCGCGCTGCCACCAGCCACTTCGCCAGGTCACTGCCCTGTCCGGCTGCAGCGGGAGTAGGTGGTCGTGCTGGCCGGCAAGGCCGGGCCCCAGAAAGTGGTTGCTTGTCAACCTGAGCCTCTGCCTGAGAGGGGAGACCTCGCTGGGCCAGGAAACAGATGTCCCTTACCTTCTAGAGCTGGTGGCCTGCGGCTCAGCACCCCTGCTGACAAGGAGTCGCCTTGCGGCCCCAGAAACACATCTCAAGGTCTTTGGGGAGTTAGTGTCTCAGAGAAGAGTTGCCATGCCCAAGTCCACTCTCAGTAAATCTCCACGAACTTTTGGAGTTTTGTGTTAAAATCATCCATTAGGTACAGAGCACTGTGCCAGCTGGGTGTCAGTGAGTGTGTGATCAGGCTGACAAGCACCCCCCTTCTCCCAACACCCCCACCCCCACTGCCCCCCTTCACCACCACTCCCCCCATGCACTGACATCACCCTGCAGGTTTGCAGCCAGACACACCTCAGCCATTAGCCTGCGCCTGCCTGTCGTGTTAAGGCGAGCTTTGTGTCCAACCTTGAGATAATTTCATGAAAGCAAGTGCAGCTGGACGTTTGACTGAATCAAACTTTCGAGACATGGAATTGAAATCTTAAATCAGGACCCAACAGACAGAACTACATGTGAAATGAAAGCTGGGGAAAAGGCCACAAAACAGCTGGAGGTTGAGGTCTGGGGAGTTGCCCCTGGAGCGCAGGTGAGATGAAATGTTAAAAAGCAGTGAGTGACTGGGAGAGCAGGAGCTCGCCAGCCTGGCGGGAGCAGGAGGAGGGGCCTGAGGCCAGAGCCAGGACAAAAGCTCTGTGGCAGATGGACCAGGCTAGCTGGAAAAAGGAGAACAAAAGAAAAGGCTGGGACTTGGGGCCTCTGGGGTCAGGTGGACAGTCGAGATCTTCACCCTAGAGTAAGAGTTCACTGAGCGGCTTTGAGCAGGGGTAGAGCTGACATAACCACATTTGAATTTCAAGCAACTCCTGTGGGGACAAGAGGGACAGTGTGGTAGTAACGTGGTAGAGGGTGGCTTCAGTCTTTGGTGAGGATAATAGGGGACAGGCTCCCAGCCTGGTGAGTGCCGCAGACCCCAGGAGCTCCCAGGGTCCACTGTCTGTAGACCTGCTCCACCACCATCTCTCTCGGCTCAGAGAAAACAGTAACTCAATAAACAGTGGTGATTGATGTTCATAGCTTTCTTCTCCTTCCTCTTTTTAATTTCCACTATCCAGAAAGCCTTAGCTGCACATAGTACTCCTGGGCAATCTGGGAAGAAAGGGTGGAGTTAAAATTACAATCTTGGAGAGGTTGGGTCCCTGGAATGGTACCACTGCCGCCACCTGGTGACAACATGCCCACAGCGCAGAGCAGCGCCTC